TTATAAATATACCAAGAATAATTTAAATATATACCATAAATAAAATAAATATACCACAAATAATATAAATATACCATATATAAAATAAATATACCATATATAATATAAATATACCATAAATAATATACATATACCATAAATACTATATATATATACCATAAATAGTATAAATATACCACAAATAATATAAATATACCATAAATAATGACAATATACCAACTTTTCTAAAGTAAAGAGTATTAAACGCTCCAGAAAACTAAAAGCTGAACCAACCCACATGGTGAACCAGCTTGAGGATGATAAGTTGGGTTCGGGAATTGGGATTTGGAATGGGGGATCCGGGTATTGTCGGGACGAGAATGAGGATGAAGATGAGGATCCGGTGGAAGATGACGTTGATTCGACGATGACGAAGACGATTGCCAAACTGCAGCGCCTTCGGTTTTTGGCATTTGCTGTTGTTTTTGTTGTTAACAAACCACACGTAAGCCAAATAAAGTAAATTGCGGCAAATACAAATTGAAAACGGTCTGACAAATGAAAGTCAGTAACAGCTGCAACCGCGATATGGGAGTGAAAGAGACGACAGGGGGCAGAGGAGTGAATGAGACGGGGAGAGGGAGAAAATCATTTCAAGGTCAGGCTAAAGCGCCCGGCCAAGAAATTCGTTGAACCGACTTTCGACAAATTGTGACAACGCCCATGCGACAAAAGCCACTCCAAAAAATATTAACAGTGCACAGGGAAAAAATACAACACTTTTAAGGAAGCAAAATTTAAAATTCCTAATGAAAGTGCTAAGATTTAACCAGGATCAATAATTATAGATTAGTAAACAGTAGGAGATAGAAGTAAATAGTAGTATATAGTAGTAAAAAGTAGTAGATAGTAGTAAATAGCATTATATAGTAGGAAATATTATTAAAAAAAAAATAAGTTAATGGAAGTAAAAAGTAGTAAACATAGAACTAATTATTTAAATATAAGACTGTAAAAATACACCTAGAATTTCTGTGAAATATATTTTGTAAAATTCAAGTGCAGTAAACATTATTAATTTGCTTTCGGTTTTTAATAAGAAACTCCACTTATTTTCCGAATTTATGCCACTTTTCCCTGTGCTTCACATTGTTTGCACATTATTTAAAATTATTATGATTTTGTTTTCTTTGGCATTTATTTTACTGTCACACTTACGGACCGCAAATTAATTACGTTCAATTGAGCAGACAAGAAGGACACGCCCCATATGGCATCGCCCCCTTTTGCGGTTGGTTTTGGCAAGCAAGATCATTTTAATCATTGTTACAGTTACGAAGGATATTGAGTCGCGTTATTGGGGTAAATATATAAAGAAAAACGAAGTTAAAATTACCCTACATATTTTTCGTGTGACAGACTAAAAATGCACTTTCAAAATCTGGAACTTGAGTTATTCGATTCCGATTAAAACGTGTGATACCTCTATGAATTCGTAGTTGAATTATCTTATATTCTACATTTAAATTTATTTTTCACAGGAGGGTAAATATTTTAACCCATTTTCATGTTAGATTTTTCCGTATTTCCAATGGTTTTCAGAATGAGGACCCAAAACTGCACTTCAAAATTTCGTAACTTGGGTAATTGGATCCCGATTAAGACGTGATATACCTCTATGAATTCGTAGTTGAATTCTCTTACATTCTACATTTAAATTTATCTATCACAGAAGGGTCCAAATTTTAACACATTTTCATGTTCAATTTTTTCGTATTTCCAATAGCTTTCAGAATGGGACCCAAAATCTGAATTTCCATATTCCATAACTTGAGTTAGGGAATTCCGATTTAGACGTGTGATACCTCTATGAATTCGTAGTTGCATCATCTTGTATTCTACATTTAAATGTATCTATTACAAAAGGGTCCAAATTTTCACCCATTTTCATGTTTGATTTTTCCGTATTTCCAATTGCTTTCAGAACAGGAACCAAAAATCTGAACTTTTAAATTCCATAACTTGAGTTGTTGGATTCCGATTTAGACGTGGGATACTTCTATGAATTCGTAGTTAAATTCTCTAATGTTCTACATTTAAATTTATCTATTACAGGAGGGTCAAAATTTTAACCCGTTTTCATGTTAGATTTTTCCGTATTTCAAATGGCTTTCAGAATAGGAAGCCAAAATCTGCACTTCTAAATTCCATAACTTGAGTTATGGGAATCCGATTTTGATGTGGAATACCTCTATGAATTTGTGGTTCAATTCTCTTATATTCTTCATTCAAATATTTCTTTTTTAAGAGGCTCAAAATTTTAGCCATTTTCATGTTGGATTTTTGCGTATTTTCAATGGCTTTCAGAATAGGAACCGAAAATCTGCACTTCTGAATGCCATAACTTGAGTTATTGGATCCCGATTTAGACGTGGGATACCTCTATGAATTCGTAGTTCAATTCTCTTATATTCTACATTTAAATTTATCTATTACAGGAGGGTCAAAATTTTAACCCATTTTCATGTTAAATTTTTCCGTATTTCCAATGGTTTTCAGGATGGGAACCCAAAATCTGCCCTTCTAAATTCCATAACTTGAGTTATTGGATCCCGATTTAGACGTGGGATACCTCTTTGAATTCGTAGTTGAATTCTCTTATATTCTACATTTAAATTTATCTATTACAGAAGGGTCCAAATTTTTACCCATTTTCATGTTAGATTTTTCCCTATTTCCAATGGCTTTCAGAATGGGAACCCAAAATCCGCTCTTCTAAATTCCATAACTTGGGTAATTGGATCCCGATTTAGACGTGGGATACCTCTATAAGTTTGTGATTGAATTTTCTTATATTCTACATTTACATTTATCTATTACAGGACGGTTTAAATTTTAGTTCATTTTCATGTTTGATTTTTCCGTAAATCCAATGGCTTTTGGAATGGAAACCGAGGGTCAAATCATCATAATACAATTTTTAAACTCTTTTGTTAAACACAATTTTTTTGAAGTTAACAAAATATTTTATAATTATTCCACTTTTGCAATGCCACAACATCTGTGCTGAATATAATGGGCAGTATTTTAAAGGCTTAAAAAAAAATGAAAACAAAGAGTGGGGGTGTTGTTCATTAATCATATGACAAACGTTTTTCTTTGTTCACTGGATTCGCGCATCGAAGCAATTCTTTTTTTTGAAAATTTATGCATATTGCGAGTCGAATCTGACAACGGTCCCAAAATCCAGACACAGACCCACATCCAGTCTGATTCTCCTTATTTTTTAAAGGCGAAAAATCGAGAAATGGAGAGTGTGTGGGGTGGCAAAATGCAGCCACTGAATCATTTGGAAACCAAAAACCCGAAAAAGAAAGCCACAAATTAAAAACATGCAAGCAAAAAAAAAAAAACCATAGGAAGCCAATTAAAATTTGGGGTCTGATATATGACAGTCAATACGCAAAATAAACTGAAGAGGATTAAGGTTAAAAAGTGATTCGTTCATGATATAGCAGCTACCATTTAAATAAATGTATCTTCCAAAAGTTCTTAAAAAGTTCAAGGCACAAGTAAGGTGAATAAATGCTTGAGTGTTTTACATAATTTAACAATATTCTATTTAGTATTTTAAATATATTTTTAATTTTTTTTGGAAAAGAAGGAATAGAAAATTAAATAAATACATAAGAGACGAGTTCTACCATTGGACCAAAAGAAAAGAAAATATTTTCGATTATGCCTGGCATTTATGATTAGCTAGGGTTCATTTTTCGTTGACTTCTTCCAGCTGCTTTCTATGCAACATATTGAACAGCAGCACGTTGCATCTGGGCATAATAATTGGCTTGTATAAATATATTTAGATGGCCAAAAGGAATGTCTGAGGATATTTCATCATTTTGTGGCCGACTGGGCGATGCCGCAGGTCTTTGTCTTTGGATTATTCTTTCTTTTCTTTTTTTTTCGTCTTATAAATTTGTGCAAGTTTTGGGGACCTAACATCATGGGAGAGTTCTAGCAGCGAATGCTACACATAATTTTGCATAGTTTTATTGCAGAACGAGGAATGTACCACTCGTTACCCGAACACCAAGAACACCAGACTTTCAGAGTGGATCAGAGTCGAGTGCTCGACATTTATATGCGCATCACTTAGTCGAACTTCTTTTACCATGAGCGGAATTCATAAAAGGCAAATTCTCCTCGCTATATGGGTATACATATAGGTATAAGCATGTATAAATATATATATATACTGATGGGAAAAAGTCACTGAATTAGTTGGAATATTGTCTGAGTAACCCTCGTGTCTATGACATAGGGAAAATGCCTCGAAAATGCCTCTTAAATGCAACATTTTCATGCGGTAATTGCAAAAGAACTACGGCAACAGCAAAAACAAAAGAAAAAAAATAACAACAATAAAAAAAAAAAAAATAAAGAAAAACAAAAGCGGAAGCTTTGGCAATGATCATGCAAACTGCTCATTCATAGGATAATTATTCCATGAGTTCATTGCGGTGGCGTCGGTGGGTGAGCAATTGTTTTTTGTGGTAGATGGTGGTGTGGTGGCACCTTCTGAGTGGGGTATATTCTCTCCCCTACTTATACTATATAGTATCTGTGTCTATATGTGTATAGTGAATTTTGCCAAGCCAATGTCGTGGGAGCTGACTCGACAGCCGACTCGACTGTGATGCATTTTTAATGTTTTCATCGCATTAAGCGCATATCTAATTTAAGGCACTCGCTTTATAGGCTAGGCTGTTATACATCAGTCTCGTAAGTTCAATTTTCCAGCATGGTAATCACTCAAGAATTTACTGATGAATGTCGCCCGATAAGCCGGCAATTTGTTTGCTTTCGAGGAATATTTTAATCAACTACGGCATTTTTACAAGGCTCGTTTTATTTAGATTCAATTTCTTAATATTTATTTTTTAGCATTATATCAAAAGCTTTAGTTTATTCTTTATTTTCACAAAAAACTTCTCTAATGACCTTGTCCTGCTACTCACCAAAAATCGATTCCAGAAATATAGCACGCCCACACTTTGTTGGGCATGTCTGACCAGTTTCTTACTATATACGCATTAAGATCTGTATCTGATGTGCCTGTGTATATTCCCCAAAAATCAAAAATTCTTCGCGAATGACAATGACTGAACTGAACTGAAGCTCCACTGGACTGCCGATTGTTCCACTTATGCACATTTGTTCACACATACAATATAAGTTGCTTACACTGAAAGAATGTATATATTTAATAAATATTATTTTAAATATTTGCAACTTAAAGAAAATTTTACAAAATAATATAATAATGATACTATATTAATATAATAATAATTCTATAATAATATAATAAAAATACTAAAATACGATAACACTATAATAATAATACTATAATAAAAATACTATAATAATAATACTATAATAATAATACTATAAAAAAAATACTATAATAATAATGCTATAATAAATAATATAACAAATATTATCTTAAAAATTACTAACCAAAACTTTATAAAATTAGAAAAAGCCTTCCTTCTCAAATATTTTATATTTTTTTAGTCTAAGGCAGAAAAAAATTAAAAAAACGTTTTCAAAATACAATTTTAAATGTACTATAAAATTTTATCAGTGTCGCATACTTTGTGTCTCGCCTTAAACACATTTTTTTGCATTGACTTAACAAATTTGAACGTATATATACGTATATCCATATCGTATACACATATATTTGCCATCTTCTCCTTTCGCTTAAAACGGTAAAAAAGTAAATTTGATTCATACTCGGACGTAAGAACAACCAAAGCTTTTGCTTGTTGACTCGTTTTATTTTTATGATCCCTGTTTTCGTTTGTTTTTTTTATTTTGTGGGGTTTTTTTCGCTTCGCTCGTTGGAATTCTGCGAATTTTTATTGACAAATTTCATTAGAACTTGTACTTGGTCGAAAAACTGGCAAAGGGGCGAACTTGACTTGGCTAACTGTAGTCGAACGAAATGAAATGAACTGAAGTGAACCGAATTGTTTGTTTGTTGTTGGCTGGGTTTTTTGATTTCTTCTTTTTTCAGGAAAACGAAAGACTTAGGCAACGAACTTGAAAATTCTCACCACGCAAGTTTTTGGTATATTTTTAGATTATTTCAGTAAAGTTAAGTCTTAAATTAACACAATTTGAAGCCGTATAAGCTATTTTTGTACTTAATCTAAAATTAAAAATTTAAAAATGAGTAATTTTGTAAAACTTGCAAAAAGATGAAAGAGGTGTGTGTGAGAAAAAAAAGAGGATGAGACAAAGTGGCACGTTTTATTGAGAAACGCACAAAAGAATTTAAATACCAAATTACACATCAACTGACCAGAACAAATTCAGATTCATTGTGGGTTTTGTGTACTTAACACACAAATTCTATGATTGCGAATTCTAACAAACACCAAAAGCCACGCCCCCATGCCCCTTACGCCCATCCCCCGCCCCCTTTTCCCCCTCTTTTTGTGCAGAGCAGCGTGACAAGAACAAACAATGAACAACAGCAAAAGTAGCAGCTAAAAAAAAAAATAAAGCAAAACTACTACAAAAAAAAAACATAAAAACAAAATACATTTTCGTTTCTTATTGAAATGGAAATAGATTTTTGCAGCTTACATTGCGCTGCTGAGCTTGTTGTTGTTGTCATGTCTATTGTGTGATTTGCAACAAAAATAAAAATCTTAAAATAATTAAATAACACGACCATTTTTTACACTTTAGGGTAGTATTAAAATATATTTTTTTTTAAATGTAGTTCAGGGCTCTGAAATTTGTATTATAATATTTACATGTTATTATATATTTCTTACAAATTTAAATTATTTGACTATTGTTATACAAACTTAAATTATTTAAATATTTTTATACAAACTAAAAATATACTAAATATTATACAAATTTAAATTTAATATAATCTTATTATATTATTCAATCTCCCAAAAAACTTTTCCAATCAAATCCCATAAAAAAGAAATTTTTTTAAAATAATTTTATAATATAGCATCACAGAGGTATTAAACAATATAAATACTCTTTCGATAGGGTATCTCAACAAAGGCAAACACTTTGCCTGCCATGATTGTTGTTGCTGCCTCAAGTGTTGAAGTTCGTGTGAACTGTTGTTGTTGTTTTTTTTTTTTGCTGTAACCAACAACATCATTATCATGCCACAAAGTCAGGGGCAACAAAAGCAACAACATCGAGAATCTTTGTCCATTGTTTCGCTGTTTTTTTTACCTTTTTTACTTTTTTTTGTTATTACAATGAAAGCTCATTGTGGCAGAGAGGCATCTAAATCTGAATCTGAATCCGAGTCAGAGGAACCACAAGTTGGCAACAAGTGCTTTTCATTGGCAAACAACAACTGCAGTCCATTTTTGGCCACAAAATGCTGCTCCATTAAAATGTTACAACGCTTCACTTTTTTTTTTGTTAGTAGCTGTTTGCATCGTTACCAGAACGAAAAAACAGAGAAAGAACAGCACTTTAATTCGGCCCATTAAAGGATCATAAAGCGATTCCTCAGGAGATTTTTCAAATACTTTGTAAGGTCTTTTCTGATGTATTTATTTGCAGAAGAAGTTTGAATAGCTGTGGTAAATATTTAGTATTATAATGGTTTAGCATTTTTTTTATATACGTTTTTGTTATTATATTTGTAATATGCTTTTATTATTATATTTTTATTATTATATTTTTTTTTTTAATTTTTAGTATTTAATTTTTAGTATTTAATTTTTAGTATTTCATTTTTGGTATTACATTTTTAGTATTATATTTTTTATTTTTTAGCAACGTAGAAAAAAGTCTATAGATCGGTAATTTTAATTTAACGGCCAATGACTTCATCATAATCCTATTTCTTAGTTTTGCTACACTTTTTCCCTTTTAAAGCCGAGATGCCAGCACGCTCAAATGCACTTGAAATCAATGAGGAAGTAATTAGATTAACTCTTCTTTTCTTCATTTAGTTTACAGTTCTGGTTCTGGATATTCCCCCTTTTTTTTTCTTCTCGGCCGCCTTTATCCAATTTGCTGTTGGTTTATAAATCAAGTGTAAGTGACATTGAAATTTATTGGCCAGAATTTCTGCTTCTCTCTGCTCTTTCAACTCGTTTATTATTTGTCTATTTCCCTCTTCTGGATTTTTTATTTAATTTTTTTTTTTTTTGCGTCTTGCTCTGTTGCGTGAGAATTTCGCATGTTGTGCGGTAGTTTATATAACACACACAGTACATATGGACAGACCTATATGTATGCTTATTCTTACACCATCTAATTAAAGCGCCGACCATCTGGCAAAGTTTTCTGTTTCAAGTCGCACAAATCATAATCTCTCCTTGCGGTTTCTTTGGCTTCGTGTAGATCGCACAGATCGCACAGATCTTAGAACTGAAAAAAGGAAGGGAAGTGGACTTTGATTATGCTAATTAATGTTTATTTTCCATTGGCCAGTGCTTCCGATCAATATTTGTCTGCTCGATTTGTTGTGATTTATTTCAATAACATTTCTGGCTCTCTTTTCTTTTTCCAGAATTTTTTCCATTTCTTGAAATTAATAATTTCATCATTTGAGGTTGACAAATCGGCATTTGCTGGACATCTTTGTTCATTGCACTCGCAACTTTATTTGCTGATCTCTTCTGGAATTTCGTAAGTTTTGTCCATCGAATTCTTTTAATTGCCTTGACATTGCCATTTCAAACCGTTAAGTAACTTAACTGTACCGTATTTTTTGGCATTTCTTCTTGCTTAAATACAAACATCATCATTAAATATCATATCATTAAATCAGCTTAAAGTATCTCAGCAAAAAACAGTTTGAAAACCAATTGAACGAAAAGTATCAATCAAAGAACAACAAGTTACCGTTAAATAGGTATCTTAACCCCCCAAAAGTATTTCCTTTGAATTTGGTCATCAACATTTCGATTATTGGCCATATTTTTGTTCATTAATTAAACATTTCACGTGTGAATTTCCTGCAGCAACAGGTACATCCGGGGAAAATATTTTGGCTGTCTATAAATCTATATTCATATATGCACAAGGGGGTCTCTCACACTTTATATACACATATGTATATAAATTTTGAGTTTTTTCTTAGGCTTTGTTTAATTTCGAGATCTACGCTTTTCAGTGGGGGGCAATTAAAAAACTCTTTACGCAATTTGCAGAGATGTGTTTCTGTGATTTTTTTTGTATGTGTGGCATTTTTTTGTTGAAAACGTTTCGCTTAATTTTAGTTTATGGCTGCCAATAACCGACGTCAAGGCCAAGGCCAAAAAGGCCGGCCGACAGACAATCGTTTGCTTCGTTATTTTCTAAGCCGCTCCAACTACCAACTACCCGACAAAAAAAATTCAACTCACAAAAAAATGAGGAAAATAAATGTAGTTGAGCCTACAATTTGTCTTGGAGTTTGCCGTTTTGTGCGTGCCTCACGTCCCGCACGAAACCGAAACTGAACCGAAACTGAAATTAAAATTGAATATCATCTAACGAGATCAGCGCAGAGCAATCTTTTGGATGCTAATTGCTGCTCGAGATACTAAAGAGTTCAGCGGTATTTCAATTGCCATCGGAAATGGCCACAGGAAGGTTTCATTCTCAATTGGGGCTACTGCAAATCAAATTTTTGATTCGAAATCACAGGTTCCGGATTAAAAATCGTTACAAAAACCAAGTACTTTTTAAGAAAAATAATAGCAAGTTTTAATTTGCTGCGTCACTAAACAATTAGATTGCATAACTGAACACAGAGAGAAATATCCAAGAGCATTGTTCTTGAATTGAGAACATTCGTTCTTAAAAACCGTGTAAGTTTCAAATATTAGAACGAAATGGTGAGAAAACAAAAGTTAAATTGAGTTTATTTAACAACTTTTAAGTATACTCTACAATACAATTCAACTTTATTCGAGCAAAATAAAAACATTTTCAACTTCAAAAATATCGTTCTATTTTTAAGAACATTTTCAACTCAGATGATAAAGTCAGAATTTACTCTGTGTATGCTATAAAGACTGTTATATTTAATTCTAATGATTTTGTTATCTATAAGAGCAGATTATAATTGATCTTAAATAAAATAAAAACTTTTAGTATCCAAGGTTCATAATAATTATTTAAATTTCACCCTTTCAATTATACGTATACCTCCTCTGTCATATATTTTCTCAGCTATTTTAAGCAATTAAAGCTCAA